AAACAGAATGTTCAGCCTCAGCATGAGGAAACCCTTCTTCCCTGTGAGGGTGACAGAGCCCTGAACAGGCTGCCCAGAGAGGGGATGGAGTCTCCTTCCCTGGAGACTTTCCAAAGCCCCTGGACTTGTTCCTGTGTGATCTACTCTAGGGGATCCTGCTCTGGCAGGTGGGTTGGACTAGATGATCTCTGGAGGTCCTTTCCAACCCCTACAGCTCTGTGAATCCGTGAATACATGTGCACAATATACATGCACACATACATATATTATGCATCTGTAGGAAGGTAACATGTTACTACGTGCCCAGGTAACTGCGTTTCCTTGCATTTAGTGCTTAATGCTTGTGGTCATTCTTTCAAATACCATAGCACTGTCAAGAAAGCATAACGAAATGTTTAACCTAGGAAGCATCACTTGAAGGTAGATATCAAACTTTGTTGACCTTTCCATAAAGAACCAGCAGCAACCATAGTGGAGATGCTGAAGGACACCACTTCGTATGAAGGAGAAGATGCAGTGTTTGAATGCAGGCTGTCCCAGGAAACAACTCAGGATGCCCAGTGGTTCTTGGGGGATGTTCCCCTGCAATCCAATGAAATGAATGAGATCAGAGTCCAGGGGACGCGTCACACGTTGGTCCTGAGGAAGGTGACGCTGGAAGACTGTGGGCCCATCAGTTTCAAAGTCGGGCAGCATACCTCGGCAGCACAGCTCACAGTCCAAGGTGAGCAACCTCCTAGGACGAGGGATTGAGGAAGGTACTGGTAAGCACTGTCAGCATCGTTAACATGTTGACACGTTAATCTCATGTTAACAGAGATCCTGTTAACCTAATTTCGGCATTTAAGAGTTAAATATATACATCTAAGCAGGTCATTTCAGTCCTTTTTATAGTCTTTGGAGTGAAACAAACACTGAACACCATCCAACTTATCCTGAAACAAACAGCCATGTCAGAATCAATGCTGAAGAATATCAAGATTATGCTCTGAATTAATCTCCTACTTAGGATGTTTTTAGATCATATTAACTCCAAAAGAAAAAGAAGTCCAAAACCTCTGGAAAACCTTTCTATTAAGTTATATATATATGATTTTGAAAGACGGGCCGTGTCAATACCTTATCTTGTTTGTCCCTCTTTGATCCGGTTCAACATGTAACCGCAGGCCCCCAGCCCTGGTCTGGGGGCAACACTGGATTGGGCAGTTGTGGCAGTGTCGATACCCTCTTCCCTACAGTTGCTCCAGTCACCTTTGTAAAGGCTCTCCAGAGCTTGGAGCTGCAGGAGGGGGGCACGGCTCACTTGTCCTGCGAGGTGTCCAAGCCCAATATCCCGGTGGAGTGGAAGAAAGGCACGTCCGTCATCTGCTCCGGCCAGAAGTGCAGCATCAAGCAGGAGGGGAACGTGCACACGCTGGTCATCCACAATTTGAGCCCTGCGGACTCAGGGGAGTACAGCTGCCACGCAGCCGACGGGAAGACCACTGCCAGACTGGAGGTTAAAGGTATGCTCTCCTCTTTGCTCTGCAGTGGTGAGAGGTGTACCTGTCAGTTTTTGGAGCTCTCTAGTACAAGACAAACGTGGTGGTAGTGGAGCAAGTGCAGCAGAGGCCATCAAGTTTGTCAGGGGCTGGAGCATGGGAAGCATAAGGAGAGGTTCTCCTTCGGGTGCTCAGTAAGCAGATGAGAGACAAAAAGTGCAAGCTGAAGCAAGAGAAATTCAGCTTAGTGAAGAAAACCAGCCTTTCACAATGAAAGGGGTGGTCAGACACTGGAACTGGGACCCAGAGGGGTGGAGGAATCTCCGCCTATGGAGGACCTCCAGAGGGTCCCTTCAGCCTTAATTGTTCTGTTATTGATCCCTGGCTGCATGATCTGAAGCCTCAGGTCTCCAGGTGTATATTCTTTGAGTGCTTTTATCCTGTTAGGTGGTTTTATTTTGGGGATAAAAAAACCATCTGGGCTTCAGAAATTATGACTCAAGTGTAAGTTGGGAATTTTTGTGTACAGAAACCTAGGATTTCTGTACACATCAGAAGGATATTGACCACTTGGAGTGAGTCCAGAGGAGGCCACGAAGATGCTCAGAGGGCTGGAGCCCCTCTGCTATGGGGACAGGCTGAGAGAGTTGGGCTTGTTCAGGCTGGAGAAGAGAAGGCTCCAGGGAGACCTTATAGCCCCTTCCAGTACCTGAAGAGGCCGACAAGAAAGCTGGGGGGGACTTTTTACAAGGGCCTGTAGTGACAGGACAAGGGGTAACGGGTTTAAATTGAAAGTGGGGAGGTTTAGATTAGATATCAGGAAGAAGTTCTTCCCAGAGAGGGTGGGGCGCACTGGAACAGGTTTCCCAGAGAAGCTGTGGATGCCCCATCCCTGGCAGTGTCCAAGGCCAGGCTGGATGAGGCTTGGAGCAACCTGGTCTAGTGGAAGGGGTCCCTGCCCATGGCAGGGGGGTGGGAACTGGATGATCTTTAATGTCTCTTCCAGCCCAAACCGTTCTATGATTCTAGGATATGGGGAGACAAACTCAGCCTCTGCAGAACTGATATTTTTTTCTGTTAATAAACTCTTTTCCTTGCTCCTCCGTCTGGCATTAGACCTAGGCATCCCTGCCCCTGGTAGCTCTTCTTGGGTAAATGCAGCCAGAACTCTGCATGAACTTCATGACTGGCACTATCGGTACCTTAAAAATATTCCTGAATTTCCTATTTTTGCTTCACCCATTTTTTATTTTATTTTGCCTCCGCACCATTCCCCCCTTCCAAGCCCTGCCCATCCTTTTCAAACACTGGCTGAAAAACGAGGAGGTGGAGGAAGGGCGCACAGCCGTGCTGCACTGCGAGCTGACCAAACCCAGCGTGCCTGTGGAGTGGAGGAAAGGAGACGCTGTGCTGCAGTCAAATGACAAGTACGAGATCCGGCAGGAGGGGACACGTGTTGAGCTCTTCATCTACGACGCTGAGGCTCAGGATGCTGGCGAATATACGTGCGACTCGGGGGACCAGCAGACCACTGCGTCCTTGCAAGTCAAAGGTAGGGGAAGGCTCGCTTGAAGGCAGAGAAAGTGTGGCTGTGGCTGTCCTCCGAAGGGGTGATAAGGAGGTTTTATCACTGAATTATCATTAATATTCTGTATCTGTGAATTACACCTGCAGGAAAGGGTTTGAGCTGCAATCTATTCTTCAGAAAAGATTCTAGTGCCTTTTAAACCCGGTTCTATTTGTGCAGTTGCACTTTTGATCTCACTCTGAGAACTGGGAGGAAAATTGCAGCTGCTACTAATGTTGCTTACAACAGCATTTAGAAAACTTACCTGCTGCCTGGCAGTCAGAGGCTGGAGTATTTCACCATACCTAGAACAGGCCCATTTTAAATGGAGCCTGAGCAGACTGAGGGTTCTTTTTCTAGTGGCAACCTTTTTGGATCTTACGGTTTTATTCATTTTATAATTTCATATATGGATTTTATAGTTTTATTCATTTTAAAGCCACAAGGTTCTGCTTTTAGATCTTGAGTTTAGCCCACAAAACCAGCTCCAGCTGAGAGTCTGTGGTTCCAGTGATTAAATGTGCAAATAGTGTGATTTGTACCGTTGTGCCTCTAACTGCTTATGCTGAAAATAGTGTTTTTGGCCACATGAAGCCCCTTAGAGGTCCTGTTACCTGTTGCAATCCTTTATGGAGCAGCAGCGGACACCTTCCCAGCATCAGCGCCTGATCCCCGTGGGTGTCTGGCTGTGGCACAACTCAAAGTCCTGCTCTGGGCTTGGCATTGCCAGCAGGCAAGTTGTGGTTCAGAAAAAGGGGGACTGCCAAGCCGGAGAAGTTGCAAGTGAGTTTCTCACCCCCGAGCACTGTCACTGATGCAGTTGCTTCTCCACTACAGTACTGCCCGTGCTGTTTAACAAAGAGCTGAAAAACGTAGAGTCTGAAGAAGGGGGAACGGCTGTCTTGCACTGTGAGATCTCCAAGCCGGATGCCCCTGTTGAGTGGAGAAAAGGAGGGGTGGTCATTCAGCCCAGTGACAAGTACGAGATGAAGCTGAAAGGCAGCACTGCTGAGCTGATCATCCATGGTGTAGAGCCTGACGACTGTGGAGATTATACCTGTAGCACTGGATACGAGATCACCACGGGTTCTGTGTATGTGCAAGGTAAGGTGAGATGTGGTGGAAGTGCTCTGATTTTGCTGCCTGGAGTTCTTATTCCAAAAGCTTTGACTGTACCTGGCCAAACTTGTCTCAGATGCAAATAGTAGAAATTCCATTCATTTCCTTCCCGGTTTCAGGGAAGATATAAACACTTACATGCAGGCTGAAGTTGAACTGATGTTTATGAGTTAAGGTGGTTCAAAGTACTGACCACACTGTACCCTAGCAGATGGTGGTACTGCTGGAAAACCATCTTCTTGGAACCTTGGTCATAAAAAATACTGAAATTCTTGTTATTAATGATTACAGCTTCCACCGTTGTTGGTAATCTTACTGCCCTTTTAAAGCCCTGTAAGTAAACAAATCTCAAGCTCTCTCTCTGCCTCCCCCCTCATGCAATGTCAGTGCAGGAGAGCCAGTCATGAGTTGGTCGTGGGGTAGAGCTTCCTCCCGAAGAAACAGAGCTTGCAGACGCACACACACACTGCGTTTGTAGGTGGGTGAAGGATGGAAGGTGGTTTCTAAATCCTTCAAAGAAAACTTTAGCTCTTTTTTCCCTGGAACAGCGCTGCAAGTTTAACTCTCCTGGACAACTCGCGGTGTTGCTTGGGCTAGTTCTGCAGGGAGCGACGTGTATGTTTATGCTTTTGTTTTCCTTTGGCACCTTCTCTTGCTCTATTATACAGAAGAAGCAGCAGTCATAGTTTCTGGTTTAAAGAACACAGACGTCTTTGTGGGTGAGTCAGCCACCTTCACCTGCGAGCTCTCGCACCCGGGCGTGAAGAATGTGCAGTGGTGGCTCGATGGATCTCCCCTTCACAACAACTTTGTGACTGAAATCTCTGAGCAGGACGGGATGATCCACACTTTAACCCTAAATGATGTGGCGTGTCATGACTCGGGCACTGTCACCTTCAGAGCTGGGTCCCTTATATCTTCAGCTAAATTATTAGTCAAAGGTATTTCGTTGTTAGAAAGAAACACGTGGCCATCTCTGGACTTGCTCAGTGCACTAGTGCTTCTGCCTTCCAGGCTACCCTTACTAAATCCCTTCGCAGTCCTGTGGCCTGCAATCCTCCACTTCAAGTCACCCATACTCCTGCAGAAGCCTTATAGGTGGTACAACCACGTCAATTTTTTCAGTGGTTCAGATGAGGAAGGGTTGCAGGGTCAGGGCTGCTGCTTTCACCTGACATCTAAGTAGAGCCGGACATTAAACCACAGTGGTAGCACCTGATTTCTTAAATCCCCCCTTCAACTGTTTTTATAATACCACAAAATATTCTGTCACTGGAAATTCACAACATTACCACTGAGTTGCTCCATAGGTGGGCTACTGGTGGTGAGCTCAGTGTGTTCCCAAGGCAAGACTTTGGGCTGTTATTTTGATGGCTCCAGAGCTCTTCCTGGAAACCAAAGGGTGTATGACACTGAAATAACACAGTGACAAGAAGAGCCTTGTTTGTTGATGGCCAGAAGAGCAGTGGTCATCGCTGCACTGGAAAACCTTTCTGGTCTGTTGAATAAATATTTTTCCCATTTGGTAAGGGTAGCCACAAGCTGCAAATAACACTGAGCTCCAGACTTGTTAAAGCAAGCTTCTTCACATCCAGTCCTTTTATAGCCATTGAGAAAAGCTGTTATTTTTCAGACGTGAGTAACACTTATTCATTACTTGGAAAAGGGATTTGTATATATGGAGTTGTAAATGGTTAAGAGTTATTTATTAAAATCTACCCCCATGCTCTAACTGTCTACCGTCAGAGGAATGATCCACAATATGGGATTGTAATCCGTGCTTGATGTCTCAGTCTCTGTAGGACGTGTCCCTTGTACACTCAGACAGTTTAACTCTCTGCGGCGCTGAAATGCCAAATCACTTCTTCCTAATATCAGAATGATGCAGCAACATAGTGTGCAAGCCCCACAGATCCCTGAGCTTCACATTTCAGAGACAGACCTGGTTCTGAGCTCTCTAGGCAATGAATTCCTGCGGGCCTAAAACATGAATTAAAACTAAATGCAAAGTTAGGTATTTTACTCAGTCTTCTGGGAAGTCTTCATTTCACAGAATCACAGCATCGTTGATGTTGGAAGCGACATCTGGAGATCATCTAGTCCAACCCCACAGCTCATGCTAGTGCACATATGTATGTGGATATTTTGTGCTTCTACTAAGGCAAGATTTCTTTAATGTGAACCTGAAACACAGTAGTATATGACTCTAATTGGATTAGGATGAGAAAGGTATTTAAAAAACACCCCATTTACGCTGTGCTCCGTAACACTTGATTTGATAGGGAAGTAAAACACTAGTAAAATTCTAACTGTGCTTGTATTAACAGCCAATTTCAGGCAGTTTAGTTTGTCTAGAAATTTAAAAATAGATCTGCCTTTGACCTAGGTGTATTTCAGTCTATCTGGCTATCCATGGCTTGTTCTCCTTCAAGGAACAAGTTGTCTTTCTCTCTGTTCCATGTATCCTGGTGTAAGGCATGCTTGTAACTGGATATATTCTGTAAAAACTGAGATCTCATGACAACTTTTCTTGTTGGGCCTTTGCAATATCATTGCCCTACAACTGCATTTATTCAGTGGCCCAGCATGATGGAATCTTCAGTTATGGGGTGTGGGAAGGATGGAGAATGTTGAAGGAGCTTCCACTGCCTTCTGACCCCTTTGGGCAGGGTGAGAATTACAGACCCCAGTGTACATGATGATAAATCCTGAGGAGCATTCTGCATGGGTGAATAGGGCCACCGAGGTCTTAGCAGTGGCAAAGAGGCAAGGAGCAGTGGGGCAGTGGAAATAGGGCCTTCTCAAAAGATCTTCTCAAAGACCACAGGTGACATTTGCTGAGAGGACCACATGTCTGCATCTTATGAAAGGAGACGGTATTGTACTCCCCAGCTTCACAGGTACCTTCTTGCTTCTTCAGTCCTGGTGTAACCAAAACATCTCCATCATCTGCCGTTGTTGCCTCCTCTCCATAAACACACATGCAGGCACACGGAGTGGTAGAAGGAACCTTGGAGAGCAGGATCAAGCCTTGCAACAAGTTCCCAAAAGGCAATTGCAAAACTATCTTTGCTTCCCGAGGTCTGCTAGCAGCATCCCAAGTGCTCAACCTGATGCACCAGTTTCAAGAGGAGCATTCCAGGCAGGGGTCCAGTGTTGTTTATTCCTAGCTGGTTTGTGATCAGAACAACTATTTGAAAGATATATCAGCTTTCTCTGACTGTCATCTTTTTATGTAAAATTGCATTGCTCCTATCAAATTTTTGGGAAAGTTGACATAGTTCTGCTGAGAATGATGTTGCAGAGACTTCCATAGTTCTGCTGAGAATGATGTTGCAGAGACTTCCATTTCCAGGCTTTATTGATATTTTTCTCTTTAGCATATATATTGCAGTTGTATGCCAGTGGTACAATCTGATGTCTCAGGAGAGACTCCTTGGCTGCTTTGGACACTCAGAATATTTGGAGGTTAGATATATCTACTGTGCCCTACAGCTGCCTCCCAAGAAGCAGAACTAGTACTTTAAAAGAAAGACTGGATGTTTAAAAGCAGCCTTATGGATCTCACCTTCTTCAGAGGAGCTGCATATCCAGCTGCTGTCTGCATTTTGTGGGCTCTCAATCTGAGATTGCAATGGTTCATGCTGGATCAGCTACTCTAAAGGAAATCATATTATTTTTCCCCTAACTATGTCTCTGCTGCAGAGGAACACACTGTTAATCAAAACAATAAGTACCTGTCTCCTTTGAAGTGCCCTTTTTGTCCTGGATCTCTGTTCCTCATGCTGCCAGTGACTGCTGACATGTAGCCATCGCCACCACAGGACAGGAACGAGCATTTGCATTTGACCGTTGTGTTTCTTTCCAACGAGTCATTGCAGTTTGCTCATACAAGGAGCCTCCAGTAGCATTGGTGGCATTTTCTTATTGCTGTGTGAGGTTGAGGGTCACAGGGAACGACTCACAACTACCCATCTGTTGCAGTCCTCTGTCTCACACTTGCACTCCTGCCACATTCTGGGAATCATGGAATCATAGAATCACAGAATGGTTTGGGTTGGAAGGGACCTTAAAGATCATCTAGTTCCAACCCCCCTGCCATGGGCAGGGACACCTTCCACTAGACCAGGTTGCTCAAAGCCACGTCCAGCTTGGCCTTGAAGACATCCAGTGATGGGCCATCCACAGCTTCTCTGGGCAACCTGTCCCAGTGCCTCACCACCCTCTGCGGGAAGAATTTCTTCCTGATATCTAATCTAAACCTCCCTGATTTCAATTTGTACCCGTTACCCCTTGTCCTATCACTACAGGCTCTTGTAAAAAGTCCTCTCCCAGCACCCTTGTAGCCCCTTCAGATACTGGAAAGCTGCAATGAGGTCTCCTCGGAGCCTCCTCTTCTCCAGGCTGAACAAGCCCTGAAGCAGAAGTGTTTTGCATCCAATGCTTCCTAGTCTGGAGGATTTCAGCCATGCTTGGAGAAAGAGCTAAGCCTGGAGGGACTCCCAGCAGATGTTCTGCACAGAAGTTCATATTCAGGGCTGTTAAAACACAAGCCTTAATTGCTGGTGGCCCATTTTCCAGTGTGACAGCTATATGCTAATATACCAGTTTTGCTTCAATCCCGCTTGATGCTGACACAAGCACAGACTAAACTGCTAATGCCCAGTGCGCCCAGTCAGCTTCCTGCTTGCACGGTCACTCTGCTTGCTCCACGCAGGCTCTGTGCTTCTCAAAAATCTCTTAGTTGCCGTTTCCATGAGGATCCACTAATGCATGTCCTTCCTGACGTGTTGGTTAACAGATCCAACCATTGAAGTGGTCAGTCCCATGCAGGACATAACTGTTGATGAAGATGGCACAGCAGAGTTCGTATGCCAATATTCTAGGCCAGTACACGCCATATGGAAGAAAAATGATCAGGAAATACATGCAGATGGGCAGCGAGTGATTATCGATCAGGACTGGAATGTAAGCATGCTAAAAATTAAACCTACGGTACCAGAAGACACTGGCATCTATTCTTGTGAAGCTGAAGGCACTAAAGTGATGGCTACACTTGATGTTCAAGGTGAGGTCTTCCAGCCAAAGAGGAAGACTATCATGGGTTCCCAATAAAAGAGGTGGAAAAATCATGGCAGCACCTCACAATAAGTGACACATCAGATACCCGCTCTTTGGTGTTCACTCCAGTGCTGATAACGATGATAAAGGTAGCTGGGAGTTAATGGGAATTGGCTGTGAAGCTGCAGCATTCCACTGGAGCTTAGTTCTGGTTAACGCTCACTTGTGAGACCACTTACACATTGTACCTCTTCGACAGTGACCTGGAACCTCTGCAAAGTTTTTTTGCTGAAGTAATGTAAAATCACAGATGTAATGTTTGTCCAAAGGAATAATATGAGTACTTTTTACTGTTACAGAGTGGGTTTTGCACACAGTACGCGTTAAAACCAGTAGCAAATGGATGGTGTGGCTTTTCATTTTATTTTCAGCCAAGCGAAGGTAGCTTGGTATTTTATTTATTTCAAATACTGATCATTCAGGAATTACCTTCTCAGTTGGCACCAGCATTTGTGAGGGCTCTGAGAAACAGTAAATAAAAATATTAACAACAGGTCCAGGATTTTATATTGATGTTTCTTTAATATTGATGTTTCTATTTTTTTTATCTGTGTATGAAATTATTGTTTTGGCTCACCAGGTGAATTAGTGTGATCAGAAAGAGCAATGGCTCTGATTGATTTATAAATATTTGTAGGGTTTAGGCATTTATGGCTTTTTGCTTAACTGGACTGGTGAGTACAGAAGAGCAGGGTGTTATCCATGATAATATTTTCTACATGGATAAGCACTTTCCATTTTAGGGATTTAAAAAGATGTTAATGAACATAATCTAAAAGCATCCCAGAGGAGGTAGTATTTGCAGTTGGTTGCTTTTCAT